GTGTGTGTGTGTGTGTGTGTGTGTGTGTGTGTGTGTGTGTGTGTGTGTTTGTTCACTTCCTGTGGAAAATAATGAGGTCTACTCTGCTTCCCGAATGCACAGTGACCCTCAGCCCTGTCATTCACCACAAAAGTGCTCACAAAACACACTCGCCGCTGTGTGTTTGCATCCAGCTGCTCGTACGCTGAGAGATGGGGGGGTGGAGGGCAGGGGAGGTGGAGGCCGGGGTGGGTTACCTTTGACTTTTTTTTTCTGGTCTCGCGCCAGTATCAGCACTGCTGTCTGCTGGTTTGCAGAAACCCCGGGAGGGGTCTCACCTGAAATCACAAACTGCGATCTGCAAAACAATGGCAGAGAAACAATTAGCGCAGCTGCACGACGGTGGATTTTCTGTTCCACTAAATCCTGCAAAAATAATATCCACTGAGTTGTGTTTTTGTTTTCTTTCACAGACTTACGTGTTCACTGATGGAGAGGATGAGAAGCTGAGGAAAAGGATGGGTGAGCTACACACACATTTTGCTGAGCAGGTTGTGTTTTATCTGCTGCAGAAGCAGGAAGCAGGCTGCTGATGGAGCATTATTGTTTCCATCAAATGCAGGAAGTCACCTCAGTTGAATCAACAGGCCTTCCCTTTTCCTACTCATTAGATTGTTTCATGTTCTTCTGAGCAAACATATTGTGTTCAGAAATGTCTAATTACGTATCGGGGGCTTAGGTTTTTGTTATGTAACGTATACAAACATCTTAGTCAGTTTCCCTTTTAAATAAAAACCCTTTCGGTAAACTTTTATTGCTGTAATCTCAAGCTCTTCTTTTTTATTGATCATCAGGCGCACATCTGATCAACACTAACTGCTCAGCGGCCCACAATCGTCAGGCCCTGTCCTGTAAAATGGCTCTGGAGTACGACACTTTTCTAAGCTCAGGAAAGAAGTGAGTGAGAGCACCGCACCGCACACTGCAACACATAAACAGAGAAAGTGCTGCCTTTATCCAACAGTGTGGTCTGCCGCAGGTGGTTCTGCCACGTTGATGACGACAACTACCTGAACGTCGGCCCTCTCCTGAAACTCCTGTCCCAGTACAGCCACACGCAGGACCTGTACATCGGCCGGCCCAGCCTGGAGCGGCCGATCGAGGCCACAGAGACGCTCGACACCAACGAAATGGTACCTTTTAATACATCCAAGAGTACTTTTTTTTTCAGACTAGTTCACCTGGAAGATAAATTTTTACTGTTTGTGTAAAGAAACAGGTGAGTTTCTGGTTCGCCACAGGAGGAGCAGGGTTCTGTCTGAGCCRAGGCCTTGCTCTAAAGATGAAGCCCTGGGCAAGGTTAGTTATCACTTGAAAATACATAAAAAAATGTTTGTTTGTTTTTTACATTACAATAGTTTGAACAGGTATATCCTGCTTATGCTTTGTTTGTCTCCACGTAGCGATGGTGCTTTCATGGCCACAGCCGAGCACATTCGCCTGCCTGACGACTGCACGGTTGGTTACATCGTGGAGGCGCAGCTCGGCGTGAGCCTGACCCGCTCAGCGTTGTTTCACTCCCATCTTGAGAACCTGGGACTGGTGTCAGACGTGCAGAATCAGGTCCACACACTGATGGAAACAGACAGGTCGTTGATCAAAGGCACCGTTGGACGTCCATCTGTCTAACCCTTGTTATGCTTTGTGTTTCTGCTCTTCATCCATCAGGCCACTCTCAGCTACGGCACTGTAGGAAACAGCAGGAACACTGTTAATGTGAAAGGACTGTTTTCTGTCGAAGAAGACCCCACCAGGTAAAGTGTCTTTAATTTTAGGGGGCTTAAAGGTACAGTGTGTAGGATTTTGTCAAGTCTTTTAGCCGAAATTGAGATAATCACTAATGACAATTGTTGTGGTATGATTTACCAAGAATGCAGAAACACGTTGGAATAAATGCACGGAAAGTCTGCATGTATGGTCGTCAAAATGATTTAATTCTGAGCAACAACCCAGCGGACAGTCAATCAGGAAATCTGCTGAGTTGTGACTGCCGCGTTAGCAGAGAGCAGCCAATAAAATAACATCATGAAAACATCATGTGACATGCTTATAACCAATCACAGTCCGACGAATGTAACTGCCTAACCAATAACAGGGCTCTCAGCCCAAAGAGTTACCTACTCAGACAAGAGAGATCAATCCGTTGCTGAAGTCCTGACATATGGGCAAACAGATTAACAGCCGGAAAGAAGTTATCATAAGATTTATGAGAACTGGACAGCGTCAAGGTGAAACAGATATAAATAATTAGTCCATAACAACAATAATAAAAAACATGTCTAATCATTGCAGACAAAGACCTTGTTTTATTATTTTTACCTTATAAAAAGCTGTTTATATCTCCATGGTCGCGGGTCGCCATTACAGGCAGCTGCCATCTTGCACCGCCATCTTGTCTACGAAGGCTCATGAAGGACAAACTGCGGTGACCAGGGAGGATGATTCAACCACTCAACCACTAGATGAAAACAACAAATCCTACACACTGTGCCTTTAACTAAATTATTTGTGGTTCTACAACCCCAATTTCAATGTAGTTGGGACATTGTGTAAAAAATTAATACAAAAAATATGATGATTTGCAAATCATTTTGAACTTATATTCAAATGAATGCACTGCAAAGTTAATGTTCAAACTGAAAAAAATTACTTCATTTGCTCAACAGTCCAGGGTCTCCATTGTCATTTATTATGCATTATTATGTGCCGCATATTTTCAGTGGGAGGCAGGTCTGGACTGCAGGCAGCCCAGTTCCATATGCACACTCTTTTTTTTACTATGAAGCCACGCTGTTGTAACAAGTGCAGAATGTGGCTTAGCATTGTCTTGCTGAAATAAGCAGGGAGGTCCCTGAAACACACTTGGATGGTAGCATATGTTGCTTCAAAACATGTATGTATCTTTCAGCATTAATGGAGCCTTCAAAGATGGGCAAATTATCCACGCCATGGGCACTAATACACCCCCATACCATCAGAGATGCTGGCTTTTGAACTTTGTGCTGATAACAATCCGAACAGTCCGTTGGCCCAGAGGACACATGATCCATGATTTCCATAAACAATTTGAAACTTGGACTTGTCAGACCACAGGAYTCTACCTTTTAGTTTCAATCTACCTCAGATGAGGTCGGGCTCAGAGAAGCCGGCAGCATTTCTGGGCGTTGTTGATATAAGGCTTTGGCTTTGCATGGTAGAGTTATAACTTGGAATTGTAGATGTAGAGACAAACTGTGTTCACTGACAGTGGTTTTCTGAGGTATTCCTGAGCTCATGTGGTAATATCCGTTACAGAATGATGTGGGTTAATGCAGAGCTGCAGTGGGATCGTAGGTCACGAGCATTCAGTGTTAATTTTTAGCTTTGTCACTTGAGATTTTTCCAGATTCTTTGAATCTATAGATATTATGGACTGTAGATGACGAAATCCCTAAAATCTTTGCAAATGTATGTTGAGAAATGTTCTTAAACTGTTGAATTATTTGCTCTCGCAGTTATTCACAAAGAGATGAACCTCGCCCCATCATTGCTTGTGAACAACTGAGCSTTTCGGGGATGCTCCCTTTGTACCCAATCATGACAACTGTTTCCAATGAACCTGTTCACCTGTGGAATGCTCCGAACAGGTGTTTTTTTGATTCTGTTGCCCCATCCCAGCCTTTTTGGATTGCTTTTTAGCCATCAAAGTCAAAAGGAGGGAATATTTGTTGACAAAATAATAAAGTTTATCCATTTGACCATTAAATATATTGTCTTTGTAAGGTATTTACATAATTGAGCATAGGTTGAAAAGGATTTGCAAATGATCGTACTCTGTTTTTAATTTTATGTTTTACTCAATGTCCTGACTTTATTGGAACTGGGGTTGTAATTTATGGGGAATTTATGTGAAATATCTTAAATATTTTAAATGATTGCAAACTGAAGTCATGAACCAGTGCAATTTAGAGGCTGTTTTAAATCTTCTATAAAAGCAATTACTTAAAATGATGTACCAACCAAATTATAAATTCTAATATATAAAAAAAGAAGGTTTAGTCAATAAATTATGYCCTTGAGGAAAAAAGCATTTTAAACCACAACAAATTTAAAGGAAACATACTTTTAGATAATCTTATAAAGTGGTTTTGTTTTATAGTTCTCTGGGCTTTATGATGGTCTTTTAACATTTGTATTTGGCTGCCTTTTTGTTAACTGAGTGGTGCTTCTACATAAAATGAGAAAAGTGGACAAATGAAGGACAAAAGTAGTGTCATGTCTAAATAAAGCTATCTGCAACAAATCAACTGTATGTGAAAGTGAGAAAGACAAAAAAAGTACCTGACACAGAACCTAAGACCAAAAGGTTACTGTGAATATTTCCAGCAAACTCTTCACATCCAAGCTGAAATTACAGACAAAACAGAAAAAGTTGTAAAAAAAAAAAAAAAAACTAACACAAATTGAGTTTGTTTCTCTTCCATCCTTTCCGTCCTCCTGTCACTCACTGTTGTTTCAGACTTTGGTGGCTAACAAGATAAACATGCTGCCACCTACTGGCCAGAAGAGATTTAGAAATAAATTCATTCACTGCTAAAAACCTGTTGGGGTTCTTAAATGCTGTATATCCCCTCCAAACCTACAGCCGATTTAAACTCCTGTTTCAGAGAAAAACTGTGTTTTGAAGTTCTGCTTAACATAAGATTTATTTACTTTTATTGTTCTTGTTCTACTACTATGGGTTTCCTGTCTTTGTTCATTGTGTTTCGTGGGTGCAGCTAATTGTWTTTATGGCTTTATTTTGAAATCAGCAGTTGGTAGCTTCCAGGCATTGTGACACATGTTTCCCTCTCATTCCAAGATTCAGGTCTGTCCATTGTCTGCTGTACCCAGACACCTCTTGGTGCCCCAGCCTCTGGTGACTCCAACACCCCAACCAGAGACAAAGAAGAAGGTAGAAAACGATGGAGGGGGRAGATAGAGTCTCAAAGGAAATTATTACACTTTTCTACTGAACTCTGAAGAAAAGCAAGAACAAACAGATGTAAATGTTTTTCCTTATGGCCAACAATATTCCTGCTAGTAGCTCTGTTGTAACGGTTTAAACCCTGACCTCTGACCCTTCGCTGAGCTAATCATTCTTTTCATTCTCTACCACGCTTCCTTTTTTTTCATGCATTAAAGTTAACAAGTCAGGATAGGTTACATGGGACAGTTACAGTGTTATAGTGAAATGAAGCAAATAGGGTTCACACACTAGCTTAGCTTCATTGGGCAAAGTTCAAAGACATGATTAACTTAGGAGTTTTATCTCCTTGTGGGTCATTTTACCTCTTCTCAGCATTTTGGTGTTTTGTTTCTGGTATTTGCTCCTCATCAGCTGAAAGAAAGGACATCAGCTACAGTTTTTTTTTGTGAAGCTAACATCCTGCTGACTGTAGCTTTTATGATTTTAGTCCTAAATGTAATGACATGTTTCTATGATACAACAAACAGATTTCCTTTATTGTCATTTAAAGCTCATACATTAAGTTTTTTCCTTTGAACTACTCCAGCAGAGCCTCTGCTCCAAAGTCTGTTGCAGTAAAATGAAAGCCACTCATTTGAATTGAGGTGAGTGAATGAGTTGTCATCAGGAATGCAGTTAAAATGTTTTAGCTGTCCTCTTTAAAGGTTTTCTGAAAATGACTCATGTTGAGTTGTGTTCTGTCTCTCCGGTATCTGGATTGTATGTAAACATATGTTTAATAAAAACTCTAATGAAACTTTTTGTTTCCCTTTGATATATTTTTGCTGTGTACTTTTAACCTCCAGCCTTTTTTCTGAACTGTTGGGTTCATTGTGTTCTCACATCTGCACTCCTGATTCTTCAAAATCCAACACACACTCGTACCGGTTCAGGTTATTATTTGAGGGTTGACATGGCCTAATTAAGGCATGTTTAAGGATTGGGTCAATGTTAGGCTGAATGAAGAGTAGAAGCAAATGCAAAGTCCTGTTGAAGATAACTGTGCAGGTTCCTGTGTTTGAGGATCCAGGCATGTCCTACTTTCAAACATTAACACATTTATGACTAAAATAAATCTCAGCTATTTGATTGCTTTTTGGACAGTGACACCTGCTGGTGTGAATACACAAAGTTAGACCTGTAGGAAGTAGTAAGGTATTTAATTGGCAAAGTTAAAATTAATGAAAGTAGACCGCTGTTTGTACTCTAAGTTTAATCAAACTTAAAATAGAGGTTTTAAAGAGTTAATAGCAAGGACTCATGGGGCCACAATTAAGACTGAGACCCCGAGGGTCATTTTAACCCAGGGGTTCCAAAGAAGCAGTTAGCTGAAGAACTTTCAGTGCAATCTGAGGCAGTTCCAGCAAAAAATACTTTAAAATGTCAGTTGTAATAACCCTGTAATGCAAGGCCATCAAACTCATTTTCACTGAGGGCCACGTGACCATTATGATGGCTCTCAAATGGTCAGTTATAATTAAGTTAGACTTTTCATGCTTGACTAAATAACGAAACATCACATTCCACATCTCATCACCATGGCTGAGCACAGCTACAAACACAAACTGAGCTCTACCTGGTATTTTGTGCATAGAAACCTTTTTAATATGTCCTCTTATAAACACTGAAAAGTACTATGTGTACAACTGATTAAAYGGGAAATAAATAATACTGAAATACTATTGAGAGTTTTAATCACTGGTGAGTTGTGGTAAGTCGCTGCCGTCTTCAATTCWGAACCCTCGCTTTCCAACAGGGAATTCCCACTGGAGGGGGCATTCCAGTTAAAATTTACAATTTGTAAATTCCCACTTCTCAGTACAACTGGGATGCAGTAAAGTAGCCAACGAAAATGAAGAGAAATTGAGATTTTACATGGCTGACAACAACAGTGGTGGGCACAGTTCCCCTAAATCACTAATAGGGGAACTAGTTTCCTGATTAGTGTTTTAGGGCTTTTGCTAATTTTAAAATTTATTAGAGTTTATTTATAGAGTTTATTTAATTGATCAAAGTTAAAAACTTCATTTACTTCACTCCCTCTCAATATAGCGGGTCAATTTTTCCAGATTACATTGATGAGTTTAGGTTTTCCAGCACCATTTGTGACCGAGTGTCTCTGACAAGAGGACACAGTGCATTTGCAGTTCTATGAGCATTTGTACATCAGAAAGGCGCCTTTGAAATAAAATGTATTATTATTATTATTATCAAATAAGATGTTGACCATATTACATGTACAATTTCATTGGCTATTTTAAGCCCTGMACCTCCACCTAGTGCTGTCATTTTGAGGGTAAAATAATCGACATGCAATATGGGAGATGTAGTTTATGGTCAATGCTTTCTTTAAAGCAGAATATGCTTATTTTAAGATTCTCTGAAGCTCTTGCGGATCACTTAAAATGCTGAAGCTGGCCACATTTTGCCCACGGCCCTTGAGTTTGACACGTGCTGTAATGCAAAGTGCAGCAGTGCAAAGATTAAATGAAATAGCTCTGAATTTTCAGAGATTAGTTGTTTATAAACAACTAGTCCAAATTTGTGGAAACATGACAAACAAATAATATATTGGGATCTTGAGTGATTAACAATAGGTAAGATATTATTGTTCATAACCTCTCCACAAACCCGACATCTAAGAACACTCTTTTTGAGTAAAAAAAAAAAAAACACTGAACACTGTACTTTTTCTATCATTATTGCTGTAGGCAATACTTCAATACAGTGCATACAACACTTCATGCCTACAGATACATGCCCCCTTAAACTCATTGCCTTTGCCGGCTGCCTCTTGTGTTTCTCTCCTCTTCTCCTCTTTTTCATGTACATCATAGTGTGTCATACTGAGTGGACATGGTATGATGTTCTTGTTTTTTTATCCTCACTTATCCTCATGTGGTATTTCTTTTTTCTTCTAAGGGTAGCGCCTTGCATGGCTGCTGGACCCCCCGGGGCACCTGTTCTCCCAATCTGTTGTGTTTTGTCCATATCTGTTTAACAGGTTGTTCGGAACTGTAAATTTTCCTTTATGGGATCAATAAAGGAAAATACAAACCAGAATCTTTACTTTGACAAAGACATAGTAAATGTTTTAGTAGTTAAAACATTTTACACTGCATATCCTCAACAAAAGTGACATTTCAAGATTTAATGTGACATATGTCATGTTTCCTTGACCGTTTGACTCATGGTAGTGGTTCGGTGGTTCAGAACAGAGCCCTCACAT